ATGTATGGCCATTTTCACTATATCAGTCTTAGCTACCCAAGAAAAAGGGTATCTTTCCATTTTCTGACACCCTCTTCAATCTCTTTTCAGAGTACTAAAGTTTTCAATGTAAAGGTCTTTTACTTCCTTTGTCAGACTGATTCCTAAGTATTTCACTTTCTTAATGCTATTGTGAAATGTGCTGTTTCCCTAATTTTTCTCTCAGTGAGTTTGTTATTTGTGTACAGGAAGGCTATTGATAGTGTTGACTGTATCCAGCTACACTACTGAATTTGGTTATTAAATCTAGGAGTCTTGTGGTGAAGTTTTTGGGGTCTTCTATGTGGAGTATCATGTCATCTGCAAATAATGACAACTTAACTTCTTCCTTTCCTATTTTCATTTCTTTGTCTAACTGCTCTGGCCAATGTTTCCCAAACTATACTGAACAGGAGTGGTAATAGTGGGCATCCTTATCTTGTTCCTGATTTTAAAGTGACAGCTTTCAGGTTTTGACCACTCAGTATGATGTTGGCCATTAGTTTGTCATAGATGACTTTTATGAGACTGAGATAAAGACCACCTATTCCAATTTTCTATAGGGTTTTTATAATGAATGGGTGTTGGATTTTGTCAGATTTTTTTCTGTGTCTATTGAGATGTTCATGTGGCTTTTGTCCTTGGCTCTCCTGATATGGTGCATTACATTTGTTGATTTGCGTATGGTGAACCATCCCTAAAAGTTCTTGATGATGTCCTTTGAAGCACAAAACCTTTAAATTTTTATAAAATCCAATTTATCAAATCTATTTTTTGTTGTTGGTCAGGCTTTTGGTGACACATCTAAGAAGTGTTGAGGGCATCTAAAAAAATCATTTTCACTGGCCTACCAGAAAAGTCATAAAAGAGCTTTTATTCTTTCTACATGAAACGGAGGGAAATTTCATTTTATTATAAAATATTTAAAATATACAAAAAATACAAAGAGTAACTTCATTTATGTTCCCATTACCCAGTTTAAGAAATTTTACTAATAAAGTTAAAGTCCCTGTGTCCTCATTCCTACCTCCCCTTCTAGAAAAATGATTATCCTCCACTTATTCTCATGCATTTCATTATATTCTTACTACATGTGCATGTAGCTGTTTTCAGTAAGTAGTGTTGCTTCATCTTTTCAATTTTCCTAAATGGTACCATGTACATATTCTGCAACTTGTTTCTTCTCAAATCCATACTGTTGAGATTAATCCATCTTGATATGATCAATACAAGTATGTAAGTATAGTCCTAGTTCACTCATTTCCATGGTGGCTTAACACTGCAAATACTTTCTGTACCTAGCCCATGATGGATCCATATTCAAATAGCCAAAAGCTGGAAAAAAAAATAATACAAAGTACTTTGAGCACATAAACTAGTTTTTCTAGAGCCACGGCTTTGCACATCTTTCTTTTATAGTTAACACATTTCACAGTTTTTTACGGTTAACACATTTCACATCTTGGTCTTATCCACATGCATATATTTTTGTGTGGGTGTGTATTGATATATAACAAACGTAAGTTTAACAATACTATCTGCAATTATTTTGTTATCTTAGTCCCTTAAAGAAATAGACCAAAGCAAGCTTACATACAGACACGGAATTGATTCCACAATGTTCCTATGTCAGCTGCAACCACAGCTGAAACACTTCCCAAAGATTTTATCCCAAGGACTGGAACTGCTGGGTCACGGCATACCCATGTGTTCAGTTTTACCGGACAATTCTAGTTCTCCAACTGATGAAGCAAATTATGCTCATATACACTGACAAGAAAACTGCAGTTATTGTCTTCTGGTTGGATTTAAATGTATTCCTATGTGAATACCATACTGTAGTGCAAGTCTGCATATTCAAAATTAGTAGTGAGCCCACACATCTTTTTCTGCTTATTGGATCTATATTTTTGTGTCCCATAAGCTGTAAGACAGAGAATCTATCTATAGAAAAAAGTCTGCATGGTCATTCCAGAGACTGAGCTGGAACACACTCAGATGTGTGGTTCTGACCTGATATGTTTACACCAAAAATTACCTACTCAGCAATACTTCTGCTTCTTCTCAGGCCAGAATAAGGTAAAATGAACAGCAAAAAGAATGAAGAAAATCCGGAGAAATAAGGTTTTCTTTTTCTTTTAGTTAAAATGTCATCAGAAACATTAAAAAATAATCTGCTTTTACAAAATCTAGCTATGTAAGTCTGGGTACATTGTTACTCTTCCATTCTCCATTTTCCAATCTGCACAATTAGGTGAATAATCGCACCATTTTCCCAATAAAAATTTTGAAATAAACATTCTCTTAAAAGTTTGAGTCAGGCGTGATAGCACACATCTGTAATCCCACATTTGAAGGTGAGGCTCCTAGGAGCATCACTACAAGTTCAAGGCCAGGCTGCCGGGGTTACATAGTGAGTTCAGGGCCAGCCTGGACTACACAGCAAGACTCTGTCTCAAACCCCAAAAATAAAACAAAATCTTTGAAATAAAAGAGCTCAGAGAGATTCAAGGTTGTACAGGTGTCAGTCATCCAACACCTCCTGAAAGCGTACATGATAGGAGCAAACAGCAGTCTTTTAAACAGCTTTTTTGGAGTAAGCAGCTCTCAAGTTCCTGCCTAAAAAGCCCAATGGCTCTGCAGAACAATGAATTATCACCTAAAACAGCTCAGCCCGACCTTTCAGTCTCAGAAAAAAAATCTAAGACTCTCTTTAATTTAAAGGCATAAAACCCAAATGCAGATATGTGGCTTTCACTCACCCACGCTCTGGCCTGGCCCCTTCTGCTTCTGTTTTCACACCTATCCTGGAGTCACATGTTACCTGCTTCAAAGTCAGCTGTCAGGTGAGGGCTCAGGAGTCCAGAACACTGTATGTTCCCACTCCCAGGAAGGAACAGAGAAGAGGAACAGATCTGACTCCCCTGAGGTGTCAGTTACCAAAGCACAAAGGGAAGGCTAGTAACTGCTTCTTTCGTTAAGCAGCGAGGCGTTAGATAAAATTTACAATCAAGGGGCATTCCCAATCAGCAGGCCAAGACACATCCTAGTTATGACAGATCCTAGTTATGACAGTTGCTGTGGCTACACCTCTCCAAAGAGGTTTCGTTTTATTGCCAACACTCGCTTCCATCCTCACACAGTCACCATACTAATAGGGCTTTGCGAAGAAAACAGTGAATCCTCACCACACAAAGGAACCCCTGCCTAAAGTCATGTCTACCTCGAAGGCATGCCACGTGAAGAGCAGACCAATGTCAGCACAGAATTGAGCCACTGAAACATCCTTTGGCAATGAAGTTCTGAGTAACTGAAATTCATGATCATCATTTGCATCACTCCTTCTACTACTTTCTTTTTTTTTCTTTTTGGTTTTTTGAGACAAGGTTTCACTATGCAGTTCAGGCTGGTCTTGAACTCACTTTGTTGCCCAGCTTGCCTCTAACTCGAAGCAGTCCTCCTGAATGCTGGGATTACAGGTGTGGGCCACCATGCCCGGTGTTCCTTCTACTACTTTCTACTGCCTTCTTTTGCTAACAGGGCAAAGGAGCAAACTTTCTTACTCAAAGTTCTACCGTAGCCCAGAAACTTCTCCATTTCTGTGTATCAGTGCTCTCAAACATGGAGTTAGGGAAGTAATACAAATTGTACCTGCCAATGATCTGAGGAGATGATTAAAACCCATAAGACATTACCTTGCTTTGGTTGCAAAACTGAATCTGAAAAGTTATGTATATATTTAGTAAAGATGTATCTATAACCTTTCTGTTTAGATTGAAGTTATGAAGAGCTGGCATTTACTGTGAAAAACAAATTTATAAGGGAAGAGAAGGCCTAAAGACAGCAAATAGAAGGAAGAAGCCCAAATGAGATCAAGGAGTAACGAGGAACTTGAAGGTCTTTGACTTGTGCCTGTTCTTCAAAGACAGTATCCAAGGGCAAAAGATTCAAAAGTACAGTTCTAGGTAATTTTCTGCTAGGGTCAAAGGAGTTTGCATAGGGATTAAAATGTCTAGGTTTCAAATATAAGTTAGCATAAAAGCATTTTTAAAAAATGAAAACAGGAAAAAAAACTGAAAACAGGGGCTTGGGATATAGCTCAGTTGGTACAGCATTTGTCTAGAATGTGCAAGGCCCTGGGTTCAGTCCCTAGCACTGCCAAAAACAGAAACACAAGACCTAAAAACATTTCCTACTTGTTAACAATGTATTTCCTAGTTGTTAAGAGATTTCTTTCTGGTACAAGCAGAACTAAAAATTCCCGAGGAAAACAGAGATTCAGGAATTGGGTATCTTAGTAAAGATGGGTTTTACCCATTCTCCTTCATGTGAAATTGTAAGCCATGAAATGTTAATACGGTTGTTGCTATCATTTTGATAACCAAATTTTAAAAATCTGAAAGTAGACTCAAACTAGGCGGCAAGTTGCTGATGCTTTAAAACACCCTCTTATGGTATGAACTTGCTTCAATGCAGCTGCAGCCTTAACCTGATGCAAGCGTCTCTGGGAAAAGACCTGCACAGGAGTCTGGCTCCCAGGAGCAGAGGTGCCGAACACTAGGAAGCCTTTGGCCTCTCTAAGCTCTTTCTCACTAGTCCTAACTGGAGAGGGAAGTAGAAGCTACAGGAAAGCTAATGCAGAACTCATTTTTATCTAGATCTGATACACCACAGGCTACTTGGCCAAACGTCTTGGGAGTAGGATTCAGCTATCACTTGGAATAAATCAGGCATCTTGTTTTTTTTTTTTTTTTTTGGTTTTTCTCGGTTTTTCTCCGGTACTGGGAACCGAACTCACGACCTTGCGCTTGCCAGGCAGGCGCTTTTGCCGCTGAGCTAAATCCCCAGCCCCAAATCAGGCATCTTGTAACAACCTATTAACAAAATATAATCCACTTTCACATCCAAAAGTATCCTGGGAGCTGCTCTAGGCATCACCTAATTAACTGAAGCAGACAGTAAAAAAAAATTCTCAGAAAATATCATTGTTTAAATACACTCTATTTTATTTTGTCTTAAAATAGTTTAACCTTTATGCTACAGACTTATTTCAAAAAACAGAAAATCTTATCTTGCACCAAAAAATATATATATAACACTCTGTTTTATTATTTTTTTCTCCAAAGACCATTAAATACTAAATGGAAACAAAAACTAAGTAATGAATGTAAAGAACCAAATTTCATTTTAAAAACTAGAGTTGCACATCTGGAAACATCACTTCTACGCAATGATTTGTCGTCACTGCATCAAGTCCACGCTTACACCCCAGCAACAGCAGATCTGTTACCCGCCAAGTGCATCGGTTCCTAGCCACACAATGGCTGACATTCCATGTTCATGGTAAGAGAAGTAAAAGGCTCAATGACCTTTCTACTCTTTTAAAACACAAAACAACAACAAAAAATTCCTAGTTATCCAGTGATTTTTTTTTAAAGATCACTACCCTTTAAAATTTGTTAAAAGAATACGAAGTAGTGTTTTAAATAAAATGAAAAAATACAACAGCATTGGACTAAAATACGTGATTATTTTAAACAAACAGTGCACAATCTGAGGAAGTTTGGTTAGGGTGCAATCATTTTTATATATACATGGAAGTCACATCATACACATATTGGAGAACAAGGATTAGGGGCTCAGCTCTTTGCCTTAAAAAATGGTTAAAACTAAAAGACAAAATTATGTCTCAGGCTTTCTCAAAAACCTTGTGACATATTAGAAAAAGCAGGCAACAAGTTTATTTTAAGTTACCTTGGTGTTAATTTGTTAAAGTAAATATGAACAAATGACTAAAGTAGCAAATCAACTCATGTTCACAATTGACAACAAAAGCAGAGTTTATAGGATACCTGATTGTAAATAATGGAGTCCACCCAGTCTGGCCCCTACCATCAAAATGAAAAATTACTGCTGAGCCACAATTATAAGTTACAGGGCAGTCACGATGATCCAACAAGGTTGTTGCTCTGTTTTTTCAAACTGCAAGGGAAACAAGTTGTGGCATAAAGCAATCAGTGACCCAACTGTTTGTTCCACTTTAACAGAGATGTTACTCTGAACAATGTCTTATGAGGCATGAGGAACTATTTATGCTACCAAAAGGGAAAATGTGGTTAAGAAAACAATCCCTTTAAAAGAAATTTCGAATGGCATGGGATCATAGAAAACCTTGCCTGAAACCCCATCTCCACTCTTCTACATGTAGCAATGAAAGAAGAGCCAAAAGACATTCTAACTAGTTTTTAGGTTAAAAGTCCCAACCTAGTAGGTAGGAAAGACAGCAGAGTGTCTCCCTTTCCTTTTTTGCATCTTAATGCCTAAATTTCTGTTCTGGTGCATCAAATGAGGTGGTCAGGGAGTTAGAAAAGGAACAAGTGAGGGGTAAGTGCAACCTAATATAAAGGCAAGAGGCCAGAAAAGAGTTCGGTTGCAACTCCACTCTGTCCCCATCCACAGTGTACACAGCAATTCAAAAAAATTCTCTCTTTAGCTGATGACTGTTAGGGATTAAAGAAAGCATGTCATAGGAAATCACCTGCTGTATGGAGTTAGACGAAACACACAATTAACATTAAAATAAGTAATAAAAAAAAAAAAAACACATTCCTTAAAGTAAGACTGTGCCCTGATGCTGGGGGGGGGGGCGTGAGGGGGTGGGAGGGGTAAGTTGTAAAAACTTCAAGTCATATACTCCATGCTACTCTCTTCCCAATGATTTTCCTGGAAAACACAGACCAGAAATTATACATTTCTGTTTTGTCTAGTACTTTACTTCAAGTTAAAAAAAAATGTGTAACAGTAAAATTCAATAAATTAATCCTAAAGTAAAATGTGAAGGTCCAAGGATACACCAGTAGTGAATCTTCAGGAGGTCCTGTTTCGCTCCGGCCTCTGGGTCTTTGGTTTTTGTCTAGGATTGTGGCCATGTGAGAGAATGTGATATACAAGGTTCTAAAACTGAAGGTTGCTGATCTTATTAACCTGATCAATTAAAAATGGATTGGAGGAAAAAATAAAAAGTCTGTGACTCAAATGAGATGCTATCAGAGAAGGCCAGATCAAGTGAGATGCTATCAGACAAGATCGAAGAACACATGCTCAAATACATCCCTGTGAAAGAAGAGGCATACCGAAGAACTAAAGCAACAAGAAGTAGGGTAAAGGAATAAAGTTGTCTTTACACACATACACAAAAAGAAGAAAAGGCCAGGCAGGTGGAGCCAGGCTGACTGATGCATGCGCATGCAGGCTGTGTCTCATTCAGCTTGGAGGCCTCCATAGTACCCACCCTACAGAGTGCTTGATGCAGAGCAAGCACTGGGTAAATGTGTGTTTACTGAATGGAAACTGAAAATGGGAGTTCTCATGCTTTTAGGACCAGAAAGAGTCACCAAGGCATTTGGGGAGGGAAATAAAGGGTCATAGCAATATCATCCAGTAACAGTAGAAACAAAAAACACAAAACAGAAAAGAGCAAACAAAACAAAACCCACAAAAGGTGAAGTCTTCTGAGCCAGTATTATTTCACTCCTCCCTATGTACAATACATAGTGTTCTACCTCTAGATATTGCTTTTAAAATAATTCACTAGTAACTATACGTTATAGGAAAAAAGGTAGTAACTAATGCCACAAACCCCAATGCTGGCATTTCCTGAACTCCCTGAAGTTTCTACTACCCTTTGCTATTCTTTTAGATACTGTAAGATTTACAGTGTCATTAATGTACTTTGCACCTGACATCTTCTGGAATATTTTTATTTTTGAGAATATAGAGGAGAAAAATACCCAAATATAGCTCAGGTCCAGTTCAGCTGAGGTGTTAAATAGCTGTTATACACCCTCTCCAGAGAGACCAGCTATGAAGAAGGCACTTTCTTCTCCAATTTCCAAGTGCCTTTATACTTAAAAGTCACTTTTCATATGTTTCCTAAGTAAGAAGGTTTTTTTCTGTTCTCCTGGGGAAAAAGCTGAGGAAAAGAAATTTTTCCACTTATCTTTTAGAACTCACTTCAGATGCTCAGAAAACTTCATGGTAGGCATCTATTCAAAATGTGTCTGTTCCAAAGAAAATTTTCCAAAGAGTTAAAAATTATTGCAACAAGGAAACCAAGTAAGTCACTTAGTAGTATTTATAAACATAAAGGGCATGTCAATTATTTGTGGTATAGGAAGTCAACCAGGAGCAAATCAAAAAGGCAGAAGATTCCAGCTAAAAGAAAAAAATACTTGTAATATTTTTGTCTTCTATTTTTAAAGAAAGGTTTTTAAATGCACATGCCCTACCAGGTGCCACTAAGGACCTGACTGATATGTGTGCGAATGCCCCAAGGTGGGAGTGACAATGAGGTGGGCGAATAGTGGTCAAGTCTAGACATTAATTTCATTATACAGAAAAATAAATACAAGATTCAAAAACTGAAATCCACTTTACTTGGTAATTAAAATATTATTCTAAAAGAAAGGTGACTTTTCTAAGATTAAAAGTCACTAAGTAAAATTCATCATTCTCATATTCCTACTGAAGGAAGAAATTGTTTTTTCTGTGATGTTATTTTCCTAAGTGACTTTTTTAATTAAAAAAAAAGGGGGGGGGGGGGTTCCATGAGTTTTAATTCTACAAATGCCACAAAGAGCTTCTGAGGCTGAAGCTATGACAATGAACTTCTGTGTCACAAAGAGGAGGAGGAAGTGGAAGGGAACAGTGCAGAGGAAACACAGTGACATTGTATTACAGTAGGTATTTACGTCTGCTATCCTCATCCAAGGTGAGGTCAACAACTTCTGCTGGTGAAGACCAAGTCTGCTGGGGAGTCACAGTAGTCCATGACTGAGTTTGCCGGGTGCTAACATACTGTGTGCCGGAGCCATGCTTCCATGAAGAAACACTCTGAATCACACCCCCTCGAGGATGAACACACCTGCAGTTGACATGAAGAATAAAAACTGGGTTAATCCTACCACAGAAAAAATAGAAGACAGTATGATTTCTGCTATACCAAGAATATTTTTAATAAGCCTATTATGCAAGTTCATAAAACATACAATCAATACCTTTCTTCTCTATCCATGTCTGTCTGGCTCCCTGCCACCCCTATATTCCATCACTCTCTCAACTGACACTGCCAGGGCTCATGAATTGTGTCCAAGTCAGTTACAAACAAGACAATAGCTCTGTGGATTCACTTAAATCTCTGGGATTATCACAACAGGGCAAAATAAAAATCCTCAGCAAAATTAAGATGCCCAAACAATGTTAGTGGAAACAAACGAAAAACTGAGAAAAATGGGTGAAATTTGTTTTTAAAATAAATTTTGTACCATACTTGGGTAATAATACCTTTAAAGAAAGTGACAGTAAGGCCGGTGATATAGCTCAGCAGCACAAGTGCCTGCTTGGCAAGTGTAAGGTCCTGAGTTCGATTCCCGGTACCAAAAACAAACAAACAAACAAAAAAAAGTGACAGTAATACCATTTCATAGATTAGACTTCCAAAAATCTGTAAGTACTAGGCCATACAGAAGGATCAATTTCTCTTATATGAAAAGTCACAACAGAAACACTGGGCTCATTAATCAGAAATACTCAAGCCAGGCGTCATGGCACATGCCTGTAATCCCAGCACTCAGGAGGCTGAGCCAGGAGGATTGCTCTAAGTTTGAAGCCAGCCTGAGCTATGTAGTGAGTTCAAGGCCAGCCTGAAATATGCAATGAGACTCTGTCTCAAAAACAAGAAAAAAGAGGGATCAGGGATATAGCTTTGTGGCACAGCACCTGCCTGGCAAGTGCAAAGTCCTGAGTTCAATTTCCAGTACCAAAAAAAAAAAGTTCATGTTTCAGTTCAGTGAAAACAACAAGGGTGAAGTTCTTGGTTTAGAGTCCTTCAAAGGACCTAGCAGAGGGAAAGACCTGCCCTGCAGACAATGAAAACTGTTCCAGAAACAATGTCACCCTGAATCCCAAATTCCTGGCAAATGTTAGAACTCAGAGGCTCCAGGAGACAGCACTAAGTTTTGACTCAAATGAGAGTAAGGTAGGCAGCTCAAGCTACCACTACTACTTACTGTCCTCACGTCTAGATTATAAACTAGTAACCAGGTCGCTTATGTGACAAGCAACAAATGGTATGAGTTTCATCACATGAACTGTTGCAAGGGCGTCCAAGCAGCTGTCCTGATAATGTGTATACACAGTGAGTGGTGCCAGGGACTTGAAAATGCCAGCTTTGATTTTATGCCACCTGTATCACCAAGTTCAAATGAGCCAAGTGTGGCAGCGCACGCCTGTAATCCCAGCACTCAGAGGGCTGAGGTAGGAGGATCATTTTGAGTCTGAGGCCAACCTGGGCTACAAAGTGAGTTCAAGACCAACCTGAACTGTATCTGAGCCGGGCATGGTGGCACACACCTATAATTCCAGCACTTGGGAGACTGAGACAAGAGGATCACCATGAGTTCGAGGACAGCCTAAGCTACATAATGAGTTCAAGGCCAGCCTGAACTACATAGTGAGACACTGTCTCACAAAAAAGCTCATCCAGGGGCTGGGGATTTAGCTCAGCGGCACAGTCCCTGCCTAGCAAACGCAAGGTCGTGAGTTTGATTCCTGGTACCGGAAAAAAAAAACCCATCTGTTTAATATGATAGTCTCAAGACACATCCATTTTCCTACAAATGACTCAAATTTATTTAAGTAGTACAGCAGTACTTCATTGTATACATTGTATACATTTGCCACATCTTCTTTATCCATTCATCCACTGGTGGACATACAGACTGCTTCCAAGACTTAGCTATTATCAACTGTGCTACTATACACATGGGTATACATATACAGTGTGTAATATGATGTCTTGGTACCTACGATATAAACAAAGATCAAAGTAAAAGATAACAAAAAAGAGAGATCTTTTGCAAAATGGAAGAATATATAGAAACAAAGTATTTGTAAATAAGGAGGGGAGGAAGGGTTGAAGGGAGGGGAGGGAAATGGGGGGAAAAAAGAGTAAGATATATTATATACAGGTACATAATATATGCTGAATGTGATCATTATGGATATCAAAAGTGCACTGCTGGGCATGGTGGTGTGCACATGCCTATGATCCTAGCACTTCACAGGCTAAGACAGGAGGATCAACGCCAAGCTCAAGGCCAGCCTGGGCTACATACTGAGTTCAAAAACAGCCTAAACTACATAGTGAGACCCTGTCTCAAAGAAACAACCAAAACAAAAGTGTACCAACAAAGAAAATTTTTTAAAAAGGAGAAGACCAAGATATGGAGGGAGTGGGGAAGCAGAGGCAAAGGAGATGAAGAATTAAGATGTGCTATGTACATGTTATATGTTATATACACTGTACAGTACATAACTCACAAGGTTATTCCTCACAAGGACTGTAATCATACACTGCAAACAGACTGCAAACAAACAAAAAAAATAAAAACTGGAAAAAATTCATCTGCGTAAGCACTAACTGAAGTAAAGCAAGCTAGAAATTTACAAAGAATTCAGGAAATAAATTTCCACAAAGACAGTCAAATGCCTTTGGCAGAATTCCTAGAAACTTATCTCTGAACAGGTGTATAGCCTCACTTGTTACTCTGTACTGCTCGTTAAGTGACATACTATATGATAACAGGCAATGATTTTAAAATGGATCTAATCCAACCTGTTTCTTTTAAAAAGACAAAATCAAGGCCAAAAGACAACTGCCCAAAGTCTTACGCAAGTTAAGCACAGAAGCAGAACAAAAATCTCATCTTCATTCAGGGACGGAGACCCTGCACAACTATTTTCCACTGTGCAACAAAGCCTTCCTCAGACCACAGCTGAAGTACTACACCCTGTATGGTGGACAGTAGCACTGCCTGTACTCAAGCACATCTGAGAAACACCAAAGCAGATTCTAGAAAGTGTTTGGTATAGAACAAGGACTAGGAATGAGAGGTTTAAAGACTGTATTTGCTACTGAGGCACGGAAGAATAAGGAGATGAGGCACTTCAACTACAGATCACTTGTATATTTACTTTACTGTAGTGGTTCCAGTCACTAGCATCAATTTAGGCTACTTTAAGCGAAGAAGAAAACACATTAGGACACTGAAGAACCTGAGAGGACACTGGAGCACCTGAAAGAACTTAAACATGATGGAATGAGCCTCAACCCTTTCAATCTGTTTCTCTTCAAAATTTTAGATTCTCTGGAGAATATGATGATCCTATTGCCGGTTCAAAGCTTTCCTGGCTCTAATTAGCTACCTATGATGGTCAACTTTCTTACTTTTCTAAGAAAACAACATAAATTAATCCCTTTGCTTTCATTTAGAGCCTGGAGGTGACCTCTTAGATAACATTCCTACTTTTTTTCCTAACTGAAAATGGAATGAATTCTTGTGTCTGTAGGAAACTCCTGTCTCCCTGCCTAGATTTTTGGGTTAATGTTGGCAACTGGTTCTATGAAGTAAGCAGTCTTAAGTTTAAATACAATTCATTTGCTGAGAGATAAACCAAAATTAACAAATGATCATAGGAGGGCTGGGGATTTAGCTCAGCGGCACAACGCCTGCCTGGCAAGCGCAAGGTTGTGAGTTCAGTTCCCGGTACTGGGGAAAAAAAACAAAACAAACAAACAAAAAAAAAACAAATGATCATAGGATTTATAGATTAAAATAAGTTAAGAGTCTCCTGATTATTCAAAAAATCCTAAGTATTAAAAGAACTGTTCCAATATAGTTCCATAGTAGAAAGATCTGCACTTTATACATTCATCTTCCTAGAAAAATTACCAATGAGGCTAGAAGAAGAAAAAGGACCATGGACAAAGAAAAACATTGGCATGAGAGTCACAGACTTAGGGTAAAATTAAGTGGACACAAAAGAACTTGAGATGTGGGAAAAGTCTCCATCTTACTAGCCACAAGTATCTTATAAAGCTAGACTATCCAAAAATTAACGTCTGGAAATGCTAACAAATTTCGATAACATCAGAAGCTCACCACAGCAATACAAAACAACCACAAAAGATGCATCTAACCATTAGTTCTTAAAAGCACACTTTTCAAACTGGGCATGGTAGTGCATGTCCATAATACCAGCACTGGGGAGGCTGATACAGGAAGACTGCCGTGAGTTCAAGGTCAGCCTGGGCTGCATAGCAAGACCCTGTCTCAAAAAACCCCAAAACAAACAAAAGCAAACAAACAAAAAAAGAAAGAAAGCACGCTTTCTAATCTATGACTAGAAGAAGCATAGAAGCTACATAAACAAACAAAATCCAAAGTAAAAGAACTGGAAAAGATATGAGTATGTAAGAAAAATAACTTTATCAAAGAAGTGATCACATCACCACTGAACTTTTTTTTTGAGACACAGTCTCACTGTGTAGTGCAAGCTGGTCTTAAACTCACCAATGTAGCCCAGACAGGCCTAGAAGTCATGGCGATCCTCCTGCGTCAGCCTCCCAAGTTCTGGGATTATAGGCATGCACCACCATGGCCCACACACAACTAGAATTTTTAGTGCAAAGGTTAAACAAAAGCTTCCAAAATGGAGCTTTAACTTTTAGTCAGAGCAACACAATCCCAAAGAGAATTAACTCAAGGGCAAAAGCAGAGTTTTTAAAACTCTCAGCCCAAAACTGTGTAGAACATCAAAAGATAAAATAAGAACAGGACAAAAAAGAACAGGACAACTATATCCAAATAAAACATCTATACATGCAAACCAAATCAGGACAAAAAGATGTGGATCAAAACCTAAAACCTTTTTCCAAGTGACAGCCCTGCCAGAAGCACATCAATACTTCATAACTGCAACCCTAGACTTGTAAAAGAAATAAATGCCAGATGAGACACAGGCAGCCAAAAGGGCAATTCTGAAGCAACCAGTAAGAAAATCTCTTCTCTACCTGCTCCCTAGTGTTAAATCTCAATATGTGAAAGACCATCAGGCTACTTTTTTTTTTTGTCTTTTTGAGACAGGGTTTCAATATGTAGTTCAGGTTGGAATTAAACTCACTTTATAGCCTAGACTGGCCTCAAACTCACAGCAACCCTCCTGCCTCAGCCTCCCAAGTCCTGGGATTACAGGGGTGCACCACCACTCCCAGCCTAGGCTACTTCTAAAGAAACTGCTGAAAATTTTTTATGGAAACAGAACAGAGCCAGTGCAACTATTCAACCCTAGACCCAAAGACCAATATAAAAGATAACCTCAAATAATACAGGATTTAGTTAAAAATACTCCAAGAGAATACAGAAATTCTACATACCATTGTATAGACAATATAAAAACCACTGAGGTTTCAAATGGATTTACCATCTACAAGATAGGGTTTCTTAGCCCAGCACTCAGGAGACTGAGGCAGGAAGATCACAGCGAGTTCAAGGCCAGCCTAGGCTCCGTAGTTGGTTCGAGGCCAGCCTGATATGGATAGTGAGACCCTGCCTAATAAACAAACAAACAAACAATAAAATTTTTTAAATTAAAAAATATGGGTGTGTGTGTGCATATAAATTTTTTTCAAAATATAATGCAATGGATCAGAATAAAGCACAGCTTTTATTTCAGAGCCTGTAAGAAAAAGTCCTTGAAAATTATGATATAGCATACTACCTAAAATGTAGCCAGTCAGTGCAAGTGGAACAATGTCTACAGAATAAAATGGTAACTAGATAAAAGATATGAGGGGCCAGGGATATAGCTCAACGGCACAAGCACCTGCCTGTGAAGCACAAGGTCCTGAGTTCGATCCCCGGTACCACCCCCCCACCAAAAAAAGATAAAAGATACAGGAAGCTAAAATTTTTATGATGAAAGAAAAATTGAACAAAGAAGCTAAACAGAAGGGTGGCTATAACATTTCTACCCATATGGAAATAATGAAGTAGATAGCCTTAGAAGAAGTCAATAAAAAACTAGACCAAACAATGTCTTAGCACAGAGTAAGAGATTAGATACACAATGTAAATTATTACCTATTCTTTCCTACTTTCATAAGATGAGTGAATACAATAAATTAAAATTTAAAATATAACTAAAGAGGAACTGTGAATGAAAAATCTGTTCCAGGCATGAGTGCAAATAATTTACCTACATAAAACTACCAATAGGGTATTATAGTAGAGAGCCTGAAATTTTAAAAGATATAATATTTCCAGCAAGATCCTGACATGGAACTTGAAAGGAGATAAACTAATGGCAAACACATGTTGAAGTAAAGGAAGAAATCCTAGTTCTATGTTTCTCATCAAATGGATAGTCAGCTTTAAGAGAACAGATGAAAAAAACAGAAGAGAATTTAACAGGAAAAAGATTTTTATTGGGGGGTGGGAGGATGAGATAAAGATTTCAGAATGAAAAGTCTTGTAACCAAAATAGAAAAAATAAAATGAAAATGGAAAAAGAAAAACAAAAACAAAAACAAAAACAAAAAGGAAAAGAAAAAGAAAAAGAAAAGCAGCTACACGGCATACTTTTAGCACGAATTAAGAGAATGAAATGCTAGGGCAATCTGAGTTCCAATAAAGGTAGAATTGGCCACTCGTTGGGGGGATGACATATTACATTAAAGAGTTAACTCTATATTCTTAAAGTTCCACTTGTTTTACTGAAAATTGCTTTCAGAAAGTACAATCAGATCTCACCAGAAAAAGGTAACCTCAAGAGGAGAGTGGTGGTGCACAGCTGTAGTTCCCGCTACTGACTGAGGCTGAGGAAGGACAGCTAAAACCTGTAAGTTTAAGAGCAGCCTGGGCAACACAGCCAGCCTCTGTCTTAAAACAACAACAATGACAAGAAAGAAGAAAGAATACACATCTGTATTTCACCCTAACTCTATACTCCTAAACTCACCTACCTTCATATAAGCAATGAAAGAAATGCTGGCAAATGTTTGGTTAGCTGACGAGCCAGAGTAAAATCAGATCAAAAACCAAGGTAATGAAGAACATTGTTGTTATATGCCTATTTATCAGAGAATCACAACTTAGCCCTTCAGGTGTAGGAGAAAAGCTGTTTGCTATACAGGATACATACATTCTAATGTCTAAATTTTTGTTTTGTAGATACATGTATATGTTAAGTATCCAGAAGAATTACCTGTGAGATGGCTGTAAATAATTCTCATGGACATACCTTAAAGTGAGAGTTAGCAAATTTTTTCTGGAAAGGGCCAAAGAGAGTAAACATTATGCTTTGGGGTCATATAGTCTGTTGAAAGTATTCAGTTCTGCTACTGGAGTGTAAAAACAGTCATAGATAATGAGCTGTTACAGTAATTTTACTTATGGACACTAAAGGCTGAATTTCATGTATTTTTTTATATCACAAAGTATTTTCCACCCAATTACATAAAAATAAAAATGTGAAAACCATTCTTAGCTCTTAGTCCCTAGAAAACCAGGAGCCAGACCAAGTGTGACATGGGGGTCATAGTTTGCTGACCCCTACTTAAAGAATGGCAAACTTTATCGAATTATATTCATAATACTACACACTAATTTGATGTCTTAGGACTTTCCCTGAAGTAGCTAAAGAGGGGGTAATGTCAGGTGTATGTTCCCAAGTCACAGTATATTTCAAGGTGAAGTGAAAGGCAAGAAAATACAAAGAAGAAAGTAGGAGAGCACACAGGTACCTGTACCTTTTAAGAAAATAATCAATCTATCGATATATCTTCTTAAAATTTAAAAAAAAAAAAAAATCAGCTCTAGTTCATATACATGCATATCTGAAATGTTCTTAATATGAGAAAATACAGAACATGTTCTTAAGGCTCCTACATATCTCAACAAAGTGTTTCTTAAGCCAAAGAAAACTGAGATAGCCTCACCTTTCATGCCAGCCATGGCATGAAGTCTATCATCTTCTTAGCACTTGTTTTCTAGTTAAAATGCAATTTACAATTTAAAATATCAGAATGCAGTACTCCAATTAATAGCCTACCTTGCATGTTCCTGCACACCCACAATCTCTACTTCACTATCTGAAGAGGCAATATTAATTTCTTCATTAAGTGGTGCATTGCCAGCAGATGTTTTGTCACTTGTTAGGAATCCTGGATCCAAATGACCTGAGAAAGAAAAGGGTAAAAATAAGCACTACAGTTTAACTTCTTACACATAGCACAAACAACTAATTAACAGATTTTTTACCCAAAGTTTAATCATAGAAGTAGAATAACTATGAAATAGAATAACTGCCATAGCAAAACTGCTTCTCATATCAATAAGCTATATTCCTGTTCTTTACAAGAAAAAACTTTAAATACTTTGGTAAATATCTCTAAATATATGTATATGCAAACTGTAACACTCATTCTGTAATGCTTTTTAGATTCAACTCTAGCCTGCTTTGAAATGACCTTCATAACTAATTAGAGGGCAACAAGGTAGTCTGCTCTTGATCACTTTAACAGAACAAAAATTTAAACCAGAAAAGCTCAAAAGTACAGGTATAATGAAAGTAATCATTAATACCACACTGATATTGGGATGCTTTGTGAAAGGCACTTTTTTCTCTCTAAAGGAATCTGACTTTGACAAAGTCTGGCCCCAAACTACATCTAAAAGGGAACATTAGAGGAAGATCACAATTTTGGCTTTGAGGTACTAAAACATACATAACCTGTACACTGCTGAAAGTTCTCATTAGACATAAACAAACCACATACACTAGAGAAGCACAACCAGTTGTGGCACTGAAGGATGCAATTTTTTCACCAGGATCTTCATGAAGTGTTATTACTGTATATGACACAATTAAATATGTTCTTCAATATCACAGGAAGCATGAACTTCATAGAACTCTCTCAATAAAGGCTTATGACATAACATCAAAGTCCATGCTCCAAAAACAATTCTAGCTAGATTTAAAGTAACTCAGCCTATGTGTCCAGTTCTTGAATGTTTTAATTTAAAAGCAAAACTTTTTAAATGCCTAGAAGTTAACATGGAATTAGCAGAACTGCAATGGGTACGAATTTTTACCTTTCTTTAAAGGGATTTATATTTAAATGTATTATCAACTGATACAAAACTACTTTTCCATATTTAAAAAATTCATGACACTTTATATAAATTAAACCAATGTAAAGACAAAGTTTTACACATGTAACTCTCCCCCATCTTTCAATGCTTCAAGGTCATTAAGAAATCTTGTCATTTCATACTTCTTTCAACTCTCAGTACAACGCTTTCAGAGAGGCATATGCAGTCATCTCAAAGCAAATTTTACCATTTTTACATGCTTTGACATTCAACCTGTCCCAAGAATTTACCATAGGAAAAAGACTTTTAAATAAGCAAATTTGATATTAAAAATAATCACAATAGTGCTAGGTAGAAACATGGGAAGATATACACATAAGTATCATATATAACACTATCAAACATGTAGGTGCTAGGTAAAGCTGTGAAAAGTAATCACCAAAATGAATGAGGTTGCAGTTCTTGCAATCTATGTGTGTGGGGGAAGGGAGTACTGAAGACTAAATCCAGGGTTTTGTACCAAACTACATACATCCCTAGCCATTTTTTAAAATTCTGAGACTATGTCTTTCTAAGTTCCTAAACTGCCCAGGCTGGATTTGCGCTTCCCATCCTCCTGCCTCAGCTTCCCCAACTTTGTGTGCCACCACACCCTCCCAAAAGGAAACTCTTAATACTCTGGTTTCTCTTCAGATCGTATGAATCTTTCGCCTTTTACCAAAAAGAAACTTTCCACACCTGCGCCACCACACCACCACACATTTCAGTTCTTTAATGTTATTTGTACTTGTGTTTCTTCAACCAAAAAAGATGTATATATGAGAACACAGAAGACTGGAAAGCTTAAAATGTCTCCCACATACAACTAGTGACTGAGATTATATTAGGCTGCATGATGTGTAACCTAGATGGGACTCTATATGGTGGCACTGGCAATAGGCACCTGTCTTTGTCCTCTATGAGCACACAAAAGTTACATCTGGCCAGATGTGGTGGTACGCGCCTGTTGTTAGTTCCGGCTACTCAGCAAGCTGTAGTAGGAGGATCACTTGAGCCCAAGAGTTCAAGATCAGCCTGGAAACACAGTGAGACCCCAACAAAAACCAAAAAGTACATTCACCAGGTAATAGTTTTGCTAAATCTAAGGTAGTCCTTTAAATGGAATTTGTTAAATCTAGAATTTGATTCTTGTTCTCACTCCCAATACTTTGCTGTGGCCAACTTGTTTATCCAATTTTTACCTTGATGTTTCACTTAATGGCTATCACCATGCACATCATCTGTTCCAAATGAACTGATATGGAAGAATACAAATTCAAGGTCTCTTTTTTTTGTCAAGCCTTCAACTTATCCATATTCAATACCTCAAGTGGTCTTTACTGTTGCCTTTTTCTGTTTGTCCCTACAATAAATACTTGTTCATGACATGCTACAGACTATATTAGGTGCTAGCAATACTACAGAGAACGAAGCAGGCAAAATTTCTATCCTCACTGAACCTACAGTACATGCAACAATAGTAAAAAGCAGTCTTTTGCCCTACTGCTTAAAAACTGACTGATAGGGAGATACAGAGCATTATGAAAACATACAGAAAATGCACATTCCCCTGACTGGAACGTGATCAGAAAGCCAGGCTCTCAGGAAAGATTCGACAGAGGTAAGGGGAAGTAGCACCCATTTTATTGCCCTTTAGGATCTAAATGTTTGGTGAGATCTGGAGTAATGGTACTAAAAGAGTAATGAGAAACTAGGCTGGCACAGTCAGCAGAGGTCAGGGCATAGTCACCACTCTGGATCTTAGGAAGTGGAAAGTCACTGAACATCTATGCAGAGAGGCGAGCATCATGCTCTGGTTTTGTATTTTACAGTTTCCTTTTGGGAAGGTGTGGTGGTGCATGCTTCTAATCCCAGCATCTATGAGGCTGAGGCAAGAAGACCACAAACTGGAGCCCAGCCTGGGCAATTTAGTAAGATTCTGTCTCAAAAAGTAAAAGGGCTGAGGATGTAGCTCAGTGGAATGGCCTCTTTTAATCCCCAGTATGGAAGGAAAGAAGGGACGGAGGGAGAGGAAGGTTGGTTGGTTTTCTTTTGGAATGCAGAAATGAAACTGGCAGCAAGACAGGGAGCAGGAGGCAAGGGAACGAGCTGGATTGCTGGACTTTCTTGACTGAGAAATAACTATAGCTGAACCAGGGAAGGCACAAAATGGGAAGTACTCTGTGCCATTTAGTGTACTAATGAAAACTGAGCGTGGCTGCTAATGTGCCTTTGAGATGTCCAAAAGGCAGCCACATATTCTGTTTGAAAGCTTGGGTCAGAGGTTAAAAAGGAAGACAGCCTTAATAAGGCCTGAACAACAGTACAGAAAGAAAGGTCATCCAGGAGTCAAGTGGGCCCAGAGGAGAACCCTGATGGACAGTAATTAAGAGATGGACAAGAAGAGGAACCCACAGAGAAAGAAAAGCCCAAAGATGTTAAATCATGGAGTGCAAAGATCATTTCTAGGAAGATATGTTTAACAATACCCATCTGATGCCAGATGTGGTCACACATCCTTGGAATCCCAGCACTCTGGGAGGCTGAAGCTAGAAGATCTCAAGTTTGAGTCAAGTCTGGACAATTTCAGACTCTTTTAGAGACCTTGTCTCAAAAAGTACAGCAGAGGGCTGGGGATGTGGCTCAGTGATAGAGTTCTTGCTTTGCATACACAGGCCCTGGGTTTGATCCCCAGCATCAAAAAAAAAAAAAACAAAAAGTACACCAGGGGACATGGGATGGAGCTCAGTTGGTTCAAACCCCTGTCACCCATTCCCCCAAAAAAAGACCAATTGAGAAAGAATGACTATGAAGAATCCACAATAAAACTATTGCAAATGACCCTGTAAGGAGGACCTCAGGAGTAATGTGACCAAAGCCAATATAGCAAAGCAAGTTGAAGAATAATGGAAGAGAAGAAATGACAAATTCTAGTAAGGTTAGCTCCACAGGAAAGGTGATGGGATGATACTGCAAGACAGGTGGGGGAGGCACTAAAGAGGAAAGGGAACTAGTCATATTTAGAAAAAAAATGGCAGACAGAAGTTTGATGGCAGATGCCAAGTGTGGAACGCCTATAATCCCAGCACTCAGGAGGTTAAGGCAGAAGGATCACTGTTAGTTCAAGGGCAGCCTGACCTACAAAGTGAGTCCTAGGACTATCCTGAACTGCACAGTGAAACGCGGTCTGAAAAAGACCTAGATAGATAGATAGACAGACAGACAGACAGACAGACAGATGGCAGAAAGCTAAGGTGAATTTCATGTATGAAGAATGCGTCAAGTTCATCTGCAAAGCACAGTTTTAACTAGAGGAACAGGCAGGGGGTTTAGAAAAGTGAAGCACCCATTCTGAGGGGGGAAAATGTTCCTAGGGACAGGGGGCATGCTGGGTAGCATGGAAACAAGATGAAGTTGCAGATTAGGAAATTAAGGTAACATTTTCCTCTGCCTAACAGTGTGGACACAGGCTCTAACATACATCCAGCCTCAGACTCTGTCAGGCTACACCTGGAAAGTCAACTCGCACTTAAATCCACTTGTAGTAGATTCACAGCAAGGGGCTCTTAAGGGGCTCCTGCCATGGTCCTAAAAATAAGTGAACTGAATTAAACCAGGCTTAAAAGTCCAATTTTAAGAGTCATTGTTGCTATAACCAAACTCTTCCACTTTGATTACTCAATGTTTTTAAACAATAGTAATTTGGTAAACACAGTAAGAATATAACATAATTCATAGTATTTCTGTGCATCATTCCATCACCATAGTTCTATTTTTAGTAGGGCTAATCTCTGTCATCTATATTTCTGAAGAACTAGTATTCAATGAGTAGACCCTGTTATCCTGATTCCACACTTTTAATAGTATCATTCCACAACTGGAAATATCATTCTTCTCCTTTCTTCTTTTTAAAGAATGAGAAATAAAAAATCATTATGCTATGTACATTAATTTTACACTTCATGTTTTTCTAACTATATACATCCATTACATAGTCAGAAAGTAACACCTTATATACATCTTTCACATTATTAAATCAATCCAA